ATATATATATATATATATATATATATATATATATATATATATATATAATCTATCAGTATCTACTCACCCTCATGTCATTCCTAACTTGTATGATTTTTCTTATTTTAAAAAGCACTAACGAATTTTATTGTACGAAAAAGTGCAGCCTTGACATTCTTCCATTCCTTTTGTATTCCATAAGTGGGAAATCTAATGTACAGTATATGAGTGTGAATAAAGGGTGACAGAATTTTACTTTTTGAATGAACTATCCTATACAGCAGGGGTCGGCAACCTTTTCGGCATGACATGCCACTTTGAATTTTTCTGGTTAACCACTGTGCCAATACCACCCCCATCCCTCCCCCCTTTTTAATGCATTCTGTATTTATACAGTACATACATTTTTTTTAAATGATACATTACAAAAAACAATATTTGATTTTCATGCAAATAGTTTTTAAAGATTTTTTCATAAATTGTTTTAAACTTCTCAAAAGTTTCTTGAATAACAGATATACAGTGTGACCTTACTGAACACCACTGTATGTGTGTGTGTGTGACAAAGCCAATGCATTAAAACCGTTCAGTTTAATCACTGTTCTATATTAATGCGCTGCTTTAATTGATGCGCGCGCACACACCACTCGCACACAGAGATTGCGCTGTGCAAAAAGTAACATTCAAGCTCATAAACTTCTTGTCAGTGCTGCTACGCGACTTTTATTCATCGATACTGAATCGCTACATTATATTTCTCAGCAACGAGGGGGTAAAATCGCAGTTTTTTAAGTAACTAAACTCAGTTTCCTTGTTTGTAGAGAGAGATGCAGACGCACAAAATTCACACATCTCTCTCTCTCACTCAAAATGGCCACTGTATGTGTGTGTGTGTGACAAAGCCAATGCATTAAAACCGTTCAGTTTAATCACTGTTCTATATTAATGCGCTGCTTTAATTGATGCGCGCGCACACACCACTCGCACACAGAGATTGCGCTGTGCAAAAAGTAACATTCAAGCTCATAAACTTCTTGTCAGTGCTGCTACGCGACTTTTATTAATCGATACTGAATCGCTACATTATATTTCTCAGCAACGAGGGGGTAAAATCGCAGTTTTTTAAGTAACTAAACTCAGTTTCCTTGTTTGTAGAGAGAGATGCAGACGCACAAAATTCACACATCTCTCTCTCTCACTCAAAATGACCATATTTGAGTAGTTTGCATCACTGGATATAGCTGTCGGTCATTTAACATTTCTATCGTAAAACATCAGACTAATATTAATGATTTGCAGCTTCATCTTACCTAGCTCTCTATCAACGTTAAACTGACGCTTCACACTCTGCTTCTGTGAACAACAGTAAACCCCGCTTACTTTGATTTGATTGGCCATCTCAGTCATTTTGACATTGACGAGCGCTGTTAGACCGCTGAGGCTTTGATCTGAAGCTCCTAGTAGCGCAGTAGTGCAGTGGTCGCGCACGCATCCGTAGACTAGCGCAAGTTAATTCTCATACTTTAATAGTATTTATAGCTCATAACAGGCTGTGTGACTATGATACGTTATTACCTCAAAATGTACGTCAGTATAGATGGCTCCACTATAGATGGCTCATGCAGTTTTCCCTATTGCTCGCCTGCCAGCAATTATCCATCTGCATGCCACTGTTGGTTGCCGACCCCTGCTATACAGTATATGCAGTGATACCCAGCCTGCACGTGTTAAATGTATTGCCATATCATAGGATGGGGCTGTAGATACAAGTCCAAAATCATAAAATTGGTAAATAATACAAATGTGTTCATGACGATCCAGAGATTCTCACTTTCCTTTGGGTGTAGACATGGACAGCAACTATTGTGCCAACTCAGGCTGGACTGAAGGGTGAGAATCTATGGAACTTAAGATCCGTTCTATACATGCACTTTTTAACGAATAGATTGATGCTAATAGATTTTAGACATTTCAAAATAAAATATTATCTACTATATAATATATATTGATTTATTCTTTAATTAACCTCTCTTTTGTGTGGAAAAAAATATGCAATAAAAATCTAGAAATATAGGCAAACATTTGCAGTCTACATACTAATTAATATTCCAAATATTTCAAAATGGATCTACTCTCTTGTCATTATTGTGCTGATTCAGGGTAGAGCTTAATACTATCATATAACATGCAGTGACAATGGGATTAGATGTGTTGAATGTATCAAAATAATGAATGACTATAACTAAAGCTCGAATAAACTCCAACAGAAAACCATCAGCAGTCAGTCAAGACCAGATGATGCTCCTGCCATCATTTCTAAGATTTATCTGCCTGATGGCTTCTCCTCCAGTGGAAGGCACTATAGATGGCTCTGAAAGCTGCGCTTACATGAAAGCCACTCTGGTTTTGACTGATAGCTAGATGACAGGTTTCCATTCAAGTGAACGATCTACCAGGATTGTAAGAGACACTAAAAGTCAGAGGGTCACATGCTATGCAAGGCATTTTTTTCTCACGCTGTCTTGGCCTAAGGATTTTTCACACCTTGACTTCTTACAGCTGCTCTCTCACCCATAAAAAGACGAGATTGTGTGAGAGGAACGTTGTGAATCTTTTTTTCCCTGGTACCTGAAGAACAAAAGGCAAAGGTCTCTGCCAGAGAATTGCAACCACTTAAAAGAGCTTGTGGCAATATCCTTCTTGACCATATAAAAACAGCCTGGTTTTAAGGGTTTTGATGTATCTGCTGTATTTTTCGGTTCCTGTAGCATTGTCTTATTTTTCATTTTCATCTTCTACTGGAGAAGTCCTTGAATCACCACAGCTCAACTCTGATAACCGGTCTCCACTTTTATTTTTACCCTACTTTGAAAAGTCCTGGTTCAGTCTGTTCTTCGTGTCTGCTCTGACAGAACCAAAAGTCAAGTTCTTTGTGTCGTGAGGTGTGTGGGATCGCTAAAGATACAAGTAGCCTACCCAGTAGACAACATTGAACAATAGGAACGAGGTGGGAAAGAAGACACGCGAGTATGCATCAAGTTCCAAAATGTCTATATGCACACGGCCCTTTCGCCACGCTCCATCTTTGCACTCTTCATAGCAGCAGAAGAAACTCTGGCAGTCTTTTCCATCTAGGCACTCATAAACACAGGCATCATCAAACTCCTGCCAGTACATGGAGTTGTTGAGCGTGATAACTGTGGGAGGAGGACCCACATCCAGTACTGAGTAGTTCTGTTGGACAAAAACAACATCCTTTTAGAATTTTAAGGGCTCTTGTTTTGCAGTATGCATCCAAAAAAAACTTATTTTGAGTGAATGGAAATCATCACTGGAGTCCTAAATTTGGATGAGTTTTGCATGTACTGTATACAAAATTTCACCCAAAAGAACAACATGTTTAGCTGAAGTGCATCTAATCTATGCCGTGAGCAAAACAAATCCTTCAGAGTGGGCTGTCAATCAAAACATAAGATCATGGTGGCTTCTAAGAGATTCCCACTCACTTGAACTAACAGCGTTCTCTCTGGTGGGCAAGTCAAGTGCAGCATCGATTTCTCATGGGCAGGTACGATGACCTTAAAATCTGAGCATGGTTGTCTAAATCCTTCCTCTAAACCCTTCTAGACCACACACCGAAAACTCTCCAGCAGTTTCCTGCCACTTATTCCCTGTTATTCATCTCATAATTGTGACATAACTAGCAAAGCATGGTAATTACAGCACTGAAAGATAATCTATGTGAGATCACCTATAGGGTAATATTTGTTTTGTGTAAAATTGCTATGGTAATTATCTGTGCTTCTCAGCAGAGATAAGATCTAATCAAAATGAGTGATCGGCGAGCGAGTGGGAAAATTTCACCTGCGGAGACTGCCACCGGAGAAACACAATGAATAAAAAGTAAGATGTGCTTGCTCAACCATAATTTAGCATCACATAACACACATAGACAAATACTTACAACGTCAGCCTAATGAAATCATATTTCCATACCATACCATCTGGAGAGATTGCCTATATCAAACATGCGAAAAGGCACTTCTGTCTGCAAAGACGGGATAGTATTAACACATCACTATATTGTTATGAAAGTATAACAACGATAGATTCTGCCTATCAATTCACACTGAATAGATATTTAATGTATTTGAAAGGGGAAACTAACGATTTAATGATTTACCATACATGTCAATACCAGATTACTTGATTCACATTGGTCAATCATGGCTGTATGTATGTATGTATACACACCACTGTTTCCAACATTCATAATAATTGTGATAATATTTCACAATATTACTGTTTGTACTGTATTTTTGATCAAATGCAGCCTTGGTGAGATATATATAAGAGATATTTGCACAAGAAACATTTTTTAAATCTTATGGACTCCCAGACTTTTGAACAGTACTGTGTGTGTGTGTGTGTGTATATATATATATTATGTATATATATATATATATAAAGTGTTCAAAAGTAAAAGTAAATATATAACCTCTTAAGACCCAGAAAAATATATTAGGAAAATGTTTTGTATTTTTTCATGTCATTACATTATTTATAACATTGGGATTTAAATTTTTTTTTTTGAAAATGATATTTCATTTATACAGTATGTTATGCTATGTCCCCGGTAGAGGACACCGGGACTCAATTTGAATAAATAAATAAAAAACATGAATGAACATGCATAGGCAAAAACAATAGATTTTTTTTAAATCACCAATTTTTAGGTTTCAGGATTTTTTTTATACCAAACTTTGTATAAATATGATTCTCAACTGTTGTAACAGAATGATTTGATATACCATTTTTCTTTATGCAAAATGTGTGTAAAATGGCCATAAACGGGTTTTCCCATTATATACAACGTATCTATAAACTGTATCTAATTTGCATATTAATGTGTTTTTGGGGCAACATGTAATGAAAAAATAAAGTGTAATAATGGGAGTAACAATTGACAAGATTTTCACAATAATATATAGTATTTCATAGGAATATTGAAATATATTTTCGTTCCCTATTCATTTGTTGTGTCTCCCAAAATGCATAATAAACATGCTTTTAGTCCCGGTGTCCTCAACTGAGGACATGTATGAAATCAACGTTCTGTTTCGTAACAAAAAAATCATATTTTGATTTGAGACAACATAACATTTTCCTGAGATGTTGATTTAACAGTTTAAAAAATAGATTTAAATGATAACTACAAAATATGATCATATTTCCATAAGAGTGTTACATTTGATCACTAAATTAATGTCAGCCATTTTTGAAGAGCAAGGAGAGGAAGTGGTCATGGTGAAACATCCAAACATTTGGTATCTCTGAAAAGACCTGAATGTGCTCTTTACAGGACATCCGTGGCATGTATAGTCTCAAAGAAATGCACTAAAATATAATGTCCTCATATGAAGACGCAGGGTCTCAGGAGGATACATTTAATAATTACTGCTAAACCCTACTATTGCTACTTTAATGTCTCTTATATTATTACACATTCTCTTTCATTTCAAGCCAAAGCACATTGATGCTGAATTAAAAATGATTAGCTGAATGTATTAAAAATGTATTCATTTGAATATAAAGTCCTCAGTATTCATTTTAATATAAATAATGGACATGAAACCTTTGAAAGATTGCTAGAAACTCAGGAGCCCTCTGTTAGAGCAAGAAAACGAAAGCATCCCACACATATTGTTTGAACAGGATGCATAGTTTTCTCCTAACTTGAAATGATTCAGAATATGGTGCTCACCGATCTTTTCGTCTTGTTGCAGGTTGGTCTGCGACTGCGAGCGCTGTAGGAGTAATAATTGAGTGTGGCGTACTCCATGAGAGCAGCAAAAACAAACAGGAAACAGACAGTGACGAAAAGGTCCATTGCTGTGACGTACGAGACTCTGGGTAGTGATGTCCTTGCCACCGTGCTGAGCGTTGTCATGGTTAATACTGTTGTTATTCCTGCATAACCAAAAGAGGATATTAGATGGAAAGCCTGGTAACAAGGGAAATGCCTGCTAATGAAAAAAAATAGCTAAATCATCTAAAGTGTATGCTGACATTGTTAGCATGTGTAAAATGTAGTTTGATATCTCTACTGAATACAAAATACTGTTACTTTTTGGCTCTAAGCAAATTATGGGATGCCATTGCGCTGAGCAGACCTGATTAAGTTCCATCTAAGACTCTATTGCTCTGGTTGCAGTCGGACAGGTGTAATACAATAGCTGTGTTCTAAAACCTAGGAAGCTGCCTCACTAGGGTGCCTATCTAGTGCAGTATCCTAACTGAAAAGGAACCGACTTGAAATGCTCTACATAGACAGGAATTTAAAACAGGCAATATGAGAGAAACTAATGCAATACTTTAACCACCACCATAAATCACCAAAACAGCAAATTATTGATAGTATTTTTAACTGAAAGAAAAACAACAACACTATTATGTCTTTAATGTAGTTTTTTTCGTTCAATCTGACGCATGTCCAGATGCCCAAGTCATTCTCTTGTATTTAATAGGAACAGAGGCACTTGCAAATTAAAAAAATGCCACCCACACAAACACCTAGGATCTCAGAAGCGTGTAGACATTCTTAGCTCCACTCTTGCATGGTCATTTAGAGTTGCTTCAGAGAACCAGTGACTGTGCTCCTGTTTTGTAAGGGTTTCTATGGAAACAAGTAAGCTTCATCTATTTCAGACAGAAATTTCGCACTCCATTCCTTTTTCCTCTGCCGTTGCTGGCTACGGTGATTAACTTCACTAGTTAGACTGACTTCCCCTGATACAGTGGCACTTAGTTAAATGACTGCCTGTCTGAGTCAGAAAAGCTTGTGAATGAAATATGCGTTTCAAAATGGAACTCTTTCCCGAACTGCTTGGCTCCATTTTAGCCTCATTAGTTCTCTCGTCTGTTTTTGCGATGGATAAGAATGACATAACAACTCTCTGGATATTTAAATGACTGTAATGCTGTACTTATTGTACTTATCAAGGCTGTTGGTTTGGTTGGTTTTTACACTAAATTTGCTCTTCCCCTACTAAATTCCCCCCCTTTTTTTTTATCTTTTCCAACTATTCAAAAGTGATGCATTTTAAATATGAAAAAATATGCATATAAAATAACATTTCTGTGAACAGATTTCTGTTTCTAATTATTGGTGTTTTTAAACACTCTATAGAAATTAATTATTATATATTATATGTATATCTGAATAATATTAATTGAAAGAATCCTGGAAAAACAGTTCCCACAAAAAAATTTAAATAACATTTTCAATGATCATAATAAGACATGTTATTGAGCACCAAATTAGCTAATTAGAAAGATTTTTGAAGGATGGACACGTGGAGTAATGGCTGCTGAAAAAGTTTACATTGCTATCATATCACTACTATAACATTGTGTCTTTACTGTCAGTTCTGGCCAATTGAATGCATCTTTGCTGATTAAATGCACTAGCTATCTTCATGACCCCAAACTTGTAGTGCATTTTTATTATTATAATTTTTTTTTATAATAATTCTAATAATTCTAATTCTATTTTTTATATATAATTAGAATTTTATTGAAATGGGTATCTGTGTGGAAAATACTGATGTACACTCTCAAAAGAATTCTATGTGGACTGACCTATAAAATTACATTAATTTCTATAACTAAATATAAGCAAGTAGAATGTCATAATAAATTATACACACTACATATAAACTACATGGACGCTCTCTTTTAATTAACAGGTCTCACTATTTTAGTTAAATCCACTAACAGGTATATACAGTATTAAGCAAATATAATTTTTTTAATGGGCATCCTAACGCCTCTATGCACAAGGCAGGGAATACAGACGAAACTGACTGCCTAAACCTGAACACCACTGTGACATCAAGACCTCTGGGAAAAATTTGAACAATGATTGTGCCCAACATCAGTGCCTGATCTCACCCGTGCTCTCACGTCTGAATGGGAGCAAATCCCAACAGCCATGTTCCAACATATTGGAAAGACTTCCCAGCAGATACATGCTATATAACACACACACACACACACACTCTTAAAAATAAAGGTTCTTTATTGGCATCATTGGTTCCACAAAGAACCTTTACCATCCAAGGAAACTTTTCATTCCACAAAAGGTTCTTTACAGTGGAAAAAGGTTCTTTAGATTATTAAAATGTTCTTCACATTAAGAATTTTTTTTTCTTTTAAGAACTGTTCACTGAAAGGTACTTTGGGGAACCAAAAGTTCTTCTATGGCATCTCTGTGAAAACTCCCCTTTGGAACCTTTATTTTTAAGAGTGTATGCCCATGGTTTCAAAATAAAAAAGCACATGAGAGTGTACTGTTTGGCCATGTATTGACTATGAACAAAAGCAGTTAATTTATAGTACATTATAGTTACCAAATGAATTTTCAGGTTTGGCAACAAAAAGTTGCTCCAAAAGACAGACTGTCCACCCTATATTTGAACCCTCCCTATTCTTCTGGGTTCTATCTTAGTCACATCCTTTTCTAACCTGACATTTCCACGGCTGTGAGCCCAAGCCCTCTCTCTCTCCCACATTTTATCTCAGCTGCCTTTCTCTCTGGACTTCATCGATCAACTGGACGCCTGTAAAGCAAATCTCTACTCTTTCTCCTACTCCCTTTCTTTCCACTGAAGGTGTAATGACTTCTTTTGTCAGACAGATTAATTGCATTCATCCTTCTTTTTCTTCTCAGAGTATGTTGCCAGTTTATTTCTTTTCTTCCAAACATAGATTGTGCAGGGCTCTGGCCTTTTCTTCCAGTTTTCTTAGCATTTAGCTATAGGATATAAGATAGCCAATTTATGTCAATCTAGGATCCTGTTTTTTTGACCATCACTGATCCTGCTTGTTAGCTTGAGAATACTCAGTGGAAACACCATCTCAGGCCACACTGATCTGTGGTGTGTTCAGAGGTAATCAAACAAGACAGACTAAGAGTGGCAAGCTAATCAAGCTACATCATGAGACAGATTAAAAGCCTTTCAAAATTATGTTGCATGATACTTTACATGCCGATCTCTCATTGAACAATATGAGGATAAATGAAAAGAAATAACATGGTCTAAACAAAGCCACTAAAATAAAAGAAAAACTACAGGCATAGCTAAAGTTAGTTGATAAAAAAAGATGAAAAATGAAAAAAGAAAAATTACCTTGACAAAAGGGACATTTACCAGGACAGGACATGGACTTAATCAAAGCAGGAAACTATAAAGAAATGAGTAAAGCCAACAAAAAAGCACATGAAGCGCTTTCATGAAACATGAAAGAAAGTGAACAAATACACACTAAAAAGAAAACAGATTTTCCTTTTATAAAAATGCATATGTAATAAAATATAAAGACAAATACTTTACTTTAACTGCCTTTCATTCTCATAACATGTGAACTTGGTTAATGAATAAAACAAACAGTTTATTAAATGAATAGTTCACCCAAAAATTTTTATTTGCTCACCTTCAGGTCATCCAAGATACAAATGAGTTTGTTTCTTCTTCAGAAAAGATTTGGAGAAATTTAACATTACATCACATGCTCACCAATGGATCCTCTGCAGTGAATTGGTGCCGTCAGAATGAGAGTTCAAACAGCTGATTTTACTTGTAACACAGAGTTTTTTGCTTCACAAGATGGTAACTGATAACTGAGTTGTTTGGATTACTTGTGGATTACTGTGATATTTTATCAGCTGTTTGGACTCCCAGAGCAGAGGATCCACTGTTGAACGAGAGATGTAATGCTACATTTCTCCAAATCTATTTCCAATGAAGAAAAAACTCATCTACTTAGATGACATGAGGGTACATTTTCATTTTTGGGTGAACTATTCCTTTAAATACCACAATTTTCTTCACAAACAGTGTATTTAATACTGCCTATTTAAAGACAAATAACCCAAACATCAAGTTGCACATGAATGAATCACACAAGTATCAGGTATCTGTATTTACTGCATGTACCTAGTGCTGTTCTGGCTGGAGTTGCATCTTTTTTGATCCAAAAGGAGACCCAAGAGAGAACCACAGTAAGTATGCAGGGGATGTAGGTCTGAATTGTGAAGTATCCCATTCTTCTGCTTAGGTCAAAATATACAGTCATCACCACATAGTCACCTGGAAAGAGGGAAAAAATGTGTGCATGAGTATTTTTAATATATAATATATTTTATTTATAACAAACAAAAACAATGCTATCTCAAATAGATGGTTTAAAATTACTAAGTATACAATACATGTACTGATGAACTGAGTGTAATACTTCCGAAATGTGAAAGTCATATTGCCTTTATATTTTCTTTGAAAAGCCCTCCTGTCTGTTTTCATTTTTATATTTTTTTTGTAAGAGGCTGGCCATGACCTTGAAAATATCCTGGCACTCTGATTTAATAGCAATGCTTTAGAATTTTTCTCTCTTCTTTATTGACACTTGTAATCCAGATATCAAAGCTATTTTTAAGTATTCAGATGAAATAGTAGGGACATATCTAAAAAGTATAGAAAAATGCTAAATGCAAAATCTCTGTTCAACGCATTCTATAGCTATGCTATTAGCGATGCTAATATACAGTATGATTAGCCTTGTACTTGCACAAGTTTTAAAATGTTTGAAACCATCTTGCTTCTTTCATGTTGCACAGATATTGTGAACTTTGTCTTTCAGTCATCATTACTGTTTTGTCTGGAGGCCTAAACAAAACCTTTTCACTTTTCATTGCAGCCTACAGAAGTTTTTTTCTTCATACAGTGATAAACAGGTCACTATCCATTTTCACAGGCTGAGAATAAACAGTGTGTGAAATGATAGATAGAACGAAACATGGGAACTTCGAACTGCGTCCTCTAGGGGTCGCTATGGGGAATGCCTCGTCGTGACCCGTGTCTGAAGCATACATTGAAAAAACACCAACAACATGTTGGGGTTTTCCATCTCGCGATCGTCGGCTGTGGACGAGAGTGAGCCGCTGGAGGATGATGTTATTTCGTTACCATTGTCTGATCCAGGGGCCAGTGCTCTGCTGGGTTCGGCCCAGCAAAAGCAGGAAATGTCTGAGGAGGGCAAAGAAGCTGAGGCTGAGCCTTCCCAATCCTCCTGCCCTGCATATGATGAGCTTTTGAAAATTATGGATCGAGCCGTTTTTTCCTCATGCATCCATCGATTCCAGCATACGAGTTATGCCAACATCGAGGCGATGAGCGAAAGCAGTTATGATAAGATGCCTCTATAGAGAGACGCTGGCCAGCTCTATCTCTCTATGGGTGAGACGTCCTCTTTTAAGACTCCCTCCTTGACATCTCGCTCTAATGCCAGGGCATACGTAGCAGCAGCAAGTCGGGCTGTCCCTTCATTGCACACGATGGTGATGCTCCAAGCATATCAGGCTGAAAGACACGGAGGGACATCTGTGGGTGAACCTAGCAGATATTGGGAAAAAAATAGAGGGGCTTTCTTCTCTATGCGCCGGTTTCGCCTTCTGTATTTTTGGTATCTCCGTTGAGATGGAGGTCGAAAAGTTCAGGGAGGCAAAGGTGCGCTCAGCGGCCTTCACGAAGGTCCAGGTCTGAGCCCGAACAACCCAGGGGTCCTGGCCCGTCTCGGTTTGAGGATAAGAGATGGGCACAGAAGGCTAGTGTTGCGGCTCGCGCTCCTCCCCCGCCCGCGTGTAGGGGTAGGAAGAATCGTGGGTCAAAGGAAGGTAGGTAAAAGACCTAAGGGATGTGATCCAGACAGGGCGTCAGCGGTTTTGTCCGGATCAGAGTGATACCTCAGTAACTACTCATTTTCTTCGGGGGTCATTACAGTCTCCTATGCTGGACCTATGATGTTTGGTTGGTTCTATGGCTTCATAGTGACCACCTTCCTGAGGGTCCGGACCAGAGGCTTCTTCGGACGGGGCTCCGACGTTGGGAACCATGGTGTGTGAGTACGATCCATTTCTAAATATATATATATGTGTGTATTTAATGCGCTGGTGGTTGTGTGTATAATCCTTCTGCTAGCTTTCTTTGCAGTGTTTCCCGGGACCTCTGTGTTTCTGTCCTTTTTCTAGGGTAGATCCTCGATGAGCACCCCCTCTGCTGGGTTCAGAAACCAGGTGCTCGACTTACAGTGTTTATTTTCCGGCACGGCACTGCAAAAATTTCCTGGACGTCCGGGCTGGGCTTATGCTTTCAGGCTGCCCTGTCTGGTCTACCGTATCTAGGTCGCCCTGAGGGGCCTCCCGATCACCAGGACATCTCCTCTTGCTGAGGCATCGAGCGGGAATATAGGTGGCATTTGCGAGAACCTTCTTGTGTAATGCTGTCTCAGGCAGTGCTCCCCTCACCTTAGAGCTATTTGAGCTTGCCTCTCCTGTTTGGCTCAGTACATCCGGGTATCTGTGAGCAGATGCTTGGAAAACTCTTGAATCCATACTATGGTAAGTGCACACGTAAAAGCTTTGCGTATTTAAAAAAAATCCACTTAAGTGGTAAGTGTGCACGTTATGCTTTGCCCACTTTTCTGAAATCCTGTATGGTAAGGGTTACGCGTTATTAGCCTCGTTCCCTTTCTCTGAGTTGGTTTAGACCCCGGTACCTTGGGTTCCACTCAACTAGTGTGTCTCTGTCGACACACTCTGGAAGCATCGCTCCCCTCACCATTTAGGGTTATTGTGAGCATGGTGCTTTCTTTCGAGTGTTTCATTCTCTCTGAGGAGTTGGATTCCTCGCTCCATGGGCGGTTCTTGTGGTAGTGCTGAGCAGTGCTCCCCTTTTATCAAAGGGTTACCTATGAGCATGCTACTCCTTCTGAAATTCGGAGTTCTCCTCTCACGTGAGAGTTGAGTTCTCTGTTTTTCTCAGAGCACCTGGAACCAGCAGCATCAGGCAAACTAGACCCTTCCTCTGCCTCTCTGATGCGCTGAGTTTTTTGGCTAACTTGCAGTACACTTACCCTTCTGATTCTAACAATCGCGCTGTAGGTCGAGCCTCCTCTCGTTTGAGAACTGGGGGTGTTGATCCCTCAGCTAAATAACTGCTAGCTGTTCCAGCATTGGAACATGCTGTAGGTCGAGCGCCCTCTCGATTGAGAGCTGGAAGCTTGTTCCATCAGCTACAGATTTACTGCTAGCCACTCCAGCATTATAAGCCTTAGATCGAGTTGATGACTTCTCAAACATAGCGTTTTGGGATGTACCATTTCCATCTATGGGCTGCTCTTTTAGAGTACCACGAGGGCCCCTTAGAATGTTTTTTTAAATCCATGTTATGGTAAGTGTGCACGTAAGTCTTTGTACACTTTCTAAAATACACACTGTGTTAAGTTCGCACGCTAGTTCCCACGATAGTTCCCCGCTAGTTCCCTGCATTCTTTCTAAAATCCTGTATGGTAAGAGCTATGCGCGGCCTCGTGCTCTTTCTTGAGTGGTTTAAAACCCCGGTTCCGCCTTGGGCACCACTCCACCTATATATCCTTTGGATACCTACTTTAACAGGGTGTTGCTACTAGGGGTCTATTGAGACAGTTCCTTTAGTATATGCAGAGCGTGCGGTAGCCCCTGTGTGACAGGTCAAGACTTAGTATGATTCTAGGCTCTTGGTTTTATTCCCTTAAAGGAATCTATCTATTGAATCGCAGTGTCTCGTTCCCTACTCAGGGAACCATGGTTACATAAGTAACCTGAGACGTGTTCCATGCTATGCTGCAGTTCTCACATACAGACCTCTTGTATTGCTAATTTGAAATTGCTAGCCATGTTACAACATAACCTAATCAGCTTTTCGAGGTTGTAGTTCACGCCTTCATGGGAACACTTCTCTATCTAACATTAATGATATCTACATGTCACAGTCCTTTGAAAGTCTCTCTCTCTGAAAATAGGAAACATTACCGTATAACTTTGATTCAATACAAAGTCAATATAACATTGATTTGCACCAAAAATGCCATTCTCTACCATCCTAGTATAACAGATTTGGCATTTGAATATGAGGATATAAAATTTCTAGTTCAGTCCATTGACCATGTTCACACTAAGAGTTACAAAGCCCTGATAAAATATTGTCCAATTGTGCATGTACAGTAGTGCTTTAACTGAAGTGACATTTCAACTGTTTACAATCCTCTGACCCAGAGTTTTCAATCTTAATGGGGGTCCATTAATATACTGCAGGGGGTAACATATTAGAAAAACTGTATATACATTTCGATAAATATACTGTCAAGAAAAACAACCTCATATATCATTTATTTTTTTGCATCTATTGAGCATAAAACCATCATTAAACAAATGCAAATGTCTTTCTGCCACAAAATAAATAATGGTGCAATGAATCCAGGACATTAAAATCATGTAAAGGTAGTTGCTTGAGAAAATAGGTCATTGCTAGTTTAGCATAATTTAATAATGAGGAAGATATTATATTGAGCATTTTTATTCATGCTAGGTTGGATGAGAGTGGCTGCTGGGTTAGAAAAGTTTGGACTCAAAACTTCTAGCCCCAAAACATATAGATATCAAAATTTTATGGTCAGTTTTGTTTTAATTTATACTATTTTACTGACCATTATATAAATCAAAAGTGTGAGTAAATATACTATTACAAAAGATTTCTATTTAAAATAAATGTTGTTCATTTGAGCTTTTTATTCATCATTTAATAAACCTTTTCACAGTTTCCACAAAAATATTAAACAGCACAACACTGATAATATTAAGAAAGGTTTCTTAAACCAAATCAGCATATTAAAATGATTTCTGAAGGATCATGTGACACTGAAGACTTTGCCATAGCAAGAATGAATAACACTTTTAAATATATTTAAATAGAATATATGGTTATTGTGAATTGCAATAATTTTTCACAGTATTACTATTTTACTGTAATTTTGATCAAACTCAAATCAAAATGCAGCCATTGATCATAAGAGACTTTTGAACCTTCTAACAATTCTCTTCATCAGCAGCCAAAAAAGAATCATACTTTATTCATAATCAAACTCCTATTAGATCCAATTAATAGAGCAAAAGAAAAAACAACAACAACAACAATTACCTGCTGTTGTCTTGATTATGTCTGTGGTGTTTCTCAGGCCCATGAAGTCGAACTGGTAAAGTCTCCATGACTTCTGATCTGCTGCCTGCACCGAATTCTTTCTCCACTTGTAAATCATTTCATCTCGTGGGTATCCATCTGTAATTACACAGAGCATAAGCCAGTGACCCCTAGCGCCCCCTTTCACTTATGATGGATGCCTGAGTGCAGCCCAGTGTCAGGCATCGAACTGCAGCATTTGTCTCTAGCCCAGAGTATGCTAATAAAATGCACATCACAGGCACAAGGAAGACAAAGGCATAGAGAGAGAGAACACGTAAATGAGAAGTTTGGTTCGATTATACACTGTATCCATCTTGATGCTGACACACAACCTTGAGATGTATGTCTCTAGCGTACAACCTGTGGCCCAGAAAACAGATTTGAAACAGCGGTCTCTTGAGCCTTTGGAAGTCTAATCTTAGAAATGATCACTGATGCTACTCTTGCATTGATTATCCATGTCTCATAAGTACTGCTAAGTGGATGATATTTCACGCCTTAAAGGGATAGTTCACCCAGAAATGAAAATTTGTCATGGTTTACTCACCCTTATGTCGTTGCAAAACTGTATGACTTTCTTTCACAAAAATTGAATTTTTGAAGACTGATTTCACAAAAAGATGCATGAGTCTACTAAAGCCTTTAAAGATACTATATTAGCATCCACATTCTGTTTATTATAAGCCTCACTGCAGTTGTCATCTGCCACTTAAAATGCTCGAGCCCTTTGTTTGTTAATGAATCAGTGTCATGTTTATTGTAACTGCATGCCAAAAAGTGATTGATTTGAATTTTTCAAAATTAAATAAAATAAGAAATTTACACAGGTTCAGAAAGACATGAAGGTAAGTAAATAAATGACAGAGTTTTAATTTTTGTGTTAACTGTCCCTTTAAGCAGCAAGAGTGCTGGTGTTGAAGCCACTTATATTCTACAATGTCCAAGAATGGTCCAAGACTTTCTAATATTTCTTAGAGAGTATTGTTTGATAAGTGAGTGGAAGCACTTCATTCAGACACTGTGATTAATAAAACAGCACAATTAGATTTCCACACAAATACGTATTAATTCCATTGAACACACAATGACCTGTGCTGTTAAATGGTAATCAAGCCTAATAGCCATCTGAGGTAATTGTCATTCTCTTACCAGATTAAAAACACTAAATGAGGAAAAAGATAAAAGATGCTTTTTGAATAATTGAATTTCATTAACATTTTCCTTGGTCTATGCAGAGGGCATTTAAGTACCAATAAAGATGTTCTTGACTACAAACAGTTGACATTTTGACCAGCGAATAATACAATCAGATACATTTTTAAAACATATTTTGAGCTTTTTTTACCTGTTTAATATTGCTTAAAAATTTAATGATGGTCATAAAGGGATAGTTTACCCTGTCGTGACTGGGGTCCAACAACATTTGACCAAATTTGATTTAGATTCACAGTATGGACCAAAACAACATTGAGAACTGAATTGAATATGCAATAATACACAAAACAAGAAAGTGTGTAATTTTATTTCTACACTGTGCAATACTACTACTGTGTATTTTGGAAGAATACTAGTGTTAATTTAGCCACAGACAGTGTTTCATAAACACCTGTTGGACATCCATTAAATTCACATTCATATTAATTGGCACTAGCAAGAAGGGTTAAAGGAAATGAAAAAATAACTTTATTAATTGGCACAGAAATAAGCTGAAAAATCCTCGTCCTCACCCTGGATAAATCCTGTTGTGCCATCCCTGTGAACTGTGAGAAATAATTAGTAGTATATTGTATAAAGTTTACAACAACTTGGCTCAATCAGCCATAAAGAGGTTGCAAAGGAACAGCAAAATGGTTTCAATTAAAATTCTGTGTACACAATAGTAAAATAGATGCAGCCTCCATAGATGTATTTTAGGGGTACCAGGAGACCAGAGCTGAAATTGTGTTATCATTGATTGAGTGTCTGAACCTATCAAATAGAATGGTTTCATAATCTTATAGTTGGTATTATTGTTTGGTAGAATGGCAAACAATAGCTATAATTAAACTAAAATCTGCTGACTGAAACACATTTAGTGGTATACAGGTCCAAATGAATACTCACCAAGTGCCAAATTCAAAATAAAAAAATTGGCTTTGGCAAGTAAATAAATTTAATTAATATTCATTTGGATGGACTTCACGAGAAACTAACTGCTAAATAAAAGAATGGTTTAAATTGCAAGAACAATAGTGTGACCCTGATGTAAATCACTTGAGTGAACCAAATTAAAGACATGCAATACTGTGCAAAAGTTAAAATCTGCTTTGGGGTGCCAGTATAGGAAATATAAATTTTTATCAAATCGATTATATGCACATATATATACAATATATACATGGCCTCTGTCAAACTCTAAATGCCTTGCTAGTGAAACAACTTGCCTTTCAATCATATTGTTGAACTTCTTGTTCCGCAGACATTATAAAAATAACCTGCTGTGTCTGGCTTGATGCCACACTTCTGTTCTCCTTACATCATATTCAGTTCATTTGGGTGGAAGTGGAGATCTTTTTATATTTCTTTTGATAATTATCCATGGGCAGTGTCAAAGATACACTCCTGGTCCATTTCATCCCAACAGTTGCCCTGCCACCCTCTGTCTCCGTCTCTCCCATTTGCATTGTCCTTGGTTCATTATTGTATAACCCTTAGGTCATGTTGGGCTAAAGGGTACAAGCAAATTCCACTTAATCAGAGGAAAAAATAGCCATCGCCATGGGAACCAGAACCATCCATTGGCCTCAGTGGGTGAAGAAAGGGGCGCTGATGAATCACAGTATGCAAGAGCTTCCCGTGATGGTGGAAAGATTGGCAGCGGGAGGAAGACTATGTGATTTAAACCTAATAGGGTGTGTGGAGAAAGCCTTGGTAGCACAACAAATAACTTTGTAATTTCATCATTCATCAACAAAGGAGGTTACTATTGATTTGTGAAGGACTAAATGCGAGCCATACATTTCAGTTTGTACATCCTGCCTCTGTCCGACACATCGGATGAGAATGCCATGGTTAGGTGGGCAAAAAAGATTTATGGCTCATCTTATGACCCGCATAAATACAATCAAATAAGAAAAGAATAAACAGATTGATCCATGTTTAAAATTCAGTGATTTGACACACACACACACACACACACAGGTTTGTTTTTGTGAAAAGTGGGGGCATCCCATAGGCGTAATGGTTTTTATACTGTACAGACCGTATATTCTATTACCCTACACCAACCCTACCCCTAAACTTCCCCCTTACAGGAAACGTTGTGCTATTTCAGATTTTCAATACACTCCATTCTGTGTGATTTATAAGCGTTTTGAAAAGTGAGGACATGGGGTAATGTCCTGAGAAGTCACCTTCTCCTTGTAATACCTATGTCATACCTCTGTCATTATACAAATTTATGTCCTCATTTGTCACAAAAACACGCGCACACACACACACACACAGGTTTGTTTTTGTGAAAAGTGGGGGCATCCCATAGGCGTAATGGTTTTTATACTGTACAGACCGTATATTCTATTACCCTACACCAACCCTACCCCTAAACTTCCCCCTTACAGGAAACGTTGTGCTATTTCAGATTTTCAATACACTCCATTCTGTGTGATTTATAAGCGTTTTGAAAAGTGAGGACATGGGGTAATGTCCTGAGAAGTCACCTTCTCCTTGTAATACCTATGTCATACCTCTGTCATTATACAAATTTATGTCCTCATTTGTCACAAAAACACGCGCACACACACACACACACACACACACACACACACACAGCTTATGTTCTTCCACCTTACAGCCTTCTATAGCAGGATTTTGTATTTAGTAACTGACCATTGTACTTAAAAAAAATGTTTTATAAACCTTGTGAGTCCTGTCCACACATGAGGTGCTCTATCAGGTTTTTATCGGTGCAGGACTAGAGCACAATACTATTACCGTCAATGCAGAGCTGGCTGGTTTGCTTTCGTGCCTGCTGAGACTGGCTAAAATCAGACAGGATACAGAGACAGTCAGACCCTGAATGGACACTGTCAGAGTTAAACTGCTTCCTTTCAAAATAATGGACAGTGTCAGAAACAACTGACATAGAACAGTAATCACTAAGATTTAGCGATGTTTTTGAAAGTAGTCACTTATTCTCACCAAGGCTGCATTTATTTGATCAATAATGCAGTAAAAACGGTAATATTGTGAAACAGTATTACAAAATTATTAAATTAACTGTTTTCTATTGTCTTCAGTGTCACATCCTTCAGAAATTATTCTAATATGATAATGTGCTCAATGTTGAAAACAGTTGTGCTGCTTATTACTAAATTGTGAATGTTTCATGAATAGAAAGTTCAAAAGAACAACTTACAAATTAAATAAATGTAAAATTTTTAAGTCTTTACTGTCAAATTTGATCATTTAATGTGTAATGGCTGAAAAAGGATATTAAAAATATTAAAAATATTAAACTGTTTTAAACATTGACAATAATAAGAAATGTGAGCACCTAATCAATACATTACAATAATGAAGGATCATGTGACTCTGGAGACGGAAGTAACGGCTGCTGAAAATGTAGCTTTGCCATCACAGAAATAAATTACATTTAATTATTAAATATAATAAAACAGAAAAGTTAATATTTCTCAATATTACTATATTTTTCATAAAATAAATGCAGCATTGGTGAGTAAAAGAGACTTTCCAAAAAAAAAATCTTAAAAGATTTTTTTTAAAAAGTAAATATATTTTAAGTTTTGGTTTTATATTGGGTTTAGGGTCACAAGAATAGTATGTAATATTAATGACACTAATATGGTAAAATGCCAAAGATATATAAAAAGAGAATAATGACATAAACAACATACTTATATAACTTCTCATTGTGTCAGTATTTGAGATTATATATTAATAATTTTCAACTAAACATTGTCTTTATGAAAAGCAGCTCTAAATACAATTTTAAAAAATCAGCATGAGCTCTATCTTTTGTTATTTGATGAGCAAGTGTGTGTGTGTGTGTGTGTAGGGCGTGATACAGAGATGTGGGGAATCATCTAGCAGAGTGG